TACTAATACTGTTGTAAATTCGTCTATTTATCTAGCTCTTTGGTTTGTGTTTGCGGAAATACATAAGAATGTAAATAACAAGAAAAAAAGAGAAAGAAAAAATGTAAAGAACAACAATCCGTAGAGAGAAAAATGTGGGATGTTTAGGGGAGGGGAAATTCTCATTTATATAGGTGTAATCCACCGGAAGTTACAAATGAGTTACATAGGAGTTACAACCACTACAATATGTGGAGATAATGAGGTAGTGGGAAGTTGAGAATCTATAGTGGAATGGAGGTTACAACCTCTCACGTGTTAGGATAGGAAGACCCATATTTCCATATTATTTACAACACTCCCCCTTGGGGATTCCTATCAAAACACTACTGTGCTTTTCATGTTGCCTCGTTAAAACCTCCGAGTAATTAAAACCCAGTGGGAAAAACAACCTCGGTTAGAAAAAAGATTACAACGCACAATCTTTCCAATCAGCATGTGTTGGCTCATTAAAACCTTGGCAAGTAACGAAAACCCCGTAGGAAAAATAAACCTCGCACAAAGGAAAAAGAGTACAACAGGGCACCCGGGTATCTTCTGGATACTGAGTACCTACACGGTGCTCCCCCTCAAGTTAACTCCCCCTGATATGTACAAATGAGTGAACTTGGATAATCTACTGAAGTCAATAGCCTATCTTATTCTTAAAGTTGGAGCAGTTATCTCAAATTTTGATATGCGGGATCATTATTTGTTTAGGCTATTGTTGTTGCTGATTGAAGAAAACTTCAAAGCTATGTACATGGAGTTGTCACTTTAATGAAGCCCATCTTCATTTTCTCAATGCATACTGTATTACAGTAAAATACAATCTCGTAGGATCTTCTGTGTTAGTCAATTCACAGGAATCTCGAACATGCCTAATCATGGCTTCAGGCCATGTGCATTCACTCATTATCTCGTGAAACAAACATCATGCATGATTTGATCTAGTGACAACTGAGGTACATTTCATAGAACCCCAAGACATAGCTATTTTCCCAATACTAAACCATGGATTGGGAACAAGCTTTTTGTGGATATGACTTTTAGCAAACTATATCCAAGTGCAAGTTGACTTTCAACAATAAACTAATTCGGAGCAGAATGCATCGCACCACTTTCTCATTGCTTTACAATTATCTCAATCTGCTCAAGAGAGAGCTCAACAATCAAGATAACATACGTACAACATCATCATCATCAGTGAGCATTCCCTCGCCATCATCCAAAACTTTATACAACAAAATCATATTGTGGATGTAAAACCCATTCCATTTAGCTCTTACAAACCCAACCAACATATTGAATTTCTAATAACCCGAACAATTTCTCACACCAAATTCTTCACTGAACCTCATCACAATCTTAACAATCGATGTCATACTGAACATAATGTGATGTAACAACAAAACAACAATTGTTTAGTCACACGCAATACATGGATAATAACATTGTAATATGATTACAGTGTACTATGAATATTGTTTCTAAACATCATCATAACTGGGCATTATATGTTCTATTAAATAAAAATCAACATACAGACCACCTAAACGACACCTTCGACAACCCTATTACCAATGGTTATAAAAACAGTAAATTTAGAAAATTGTATAACAACATATAAAGAAGACTTGCAATCGCGTGAACATGTTGACCCTTCGTTATGTCGAAAACAATCAAAATCACATGTAAACCATTGCAACAAACAAAACAAAAGAAAAAAAAGGAAGCAAAACCTTCGAGTGCTATGACTACAGTATACCACGAATATTGTTTTCTATAAATCGGTGTGACTATGCATTACTACGTTCTATTACATCCACATCTCGGGGTGGAAATCGGACGGATCGGATCGGAAATAGGCTCTTCGGAAGATTTCCGATTTTTTTCGGAACTGAAATCTCAATTCCGATTCCGATTCCGATTACGAAATATTCGGAATTTAAAAACGAGTTCCGATTCCGATATATTCGGAATTTTCAGAAAGTCGGAATTTTTGGAAAAGGAAGATAAAATGTAAATAAAACTCGAAAAGAGCAAAGAACAAATCAAAACCCAACAACAATCAAGAATTTCTATTCCTTTCATATTACCAGAACAAATAGACATGTTACACATAAATAACTCCTAAAATTACGAAATATCTACTAAAAAAAAAAAAAAGGTTCTCTGTAGATGGCGAAGATCGATCGATTGACTGACGAAGAATTAAGTCGACGAGGAACAACGAACGATGGAGAAGAAACCTGAGTAAAGGTCGGACTGAGAAGAACGAAGAAGTAAAAACTGGATTACGCTTTTTTTTTTCTCTCTTTTTGGAAGAAGAAGCGGCGCACCACTGCTAGTAGACATGGCCACGGGCCGGGTCGGGTCCGGGTCGGACCCGCCGGGTCCGGGTCCTACTTTTTTGGGACCCGAAACCGACCCGCGTGGAGGCGGGTCCGGGTCCGGGTCGGGTCCACTCGGGTCCTCCGGGTCCGGGCCGGGTCCGGGTCGGGTCCGGGTCCAACATCGGTTCTAGAATTTTTTTTTTTTTAATTTAATTTTATTATTTTCGGGTCGGGTCCGGTTCGGGTCCGGGTGGACCCGAGTTTCTAGCCGTTGAAATTAAAAAAAAAAAAAAATTTGAATTTTCGGGTCAGGTCCGGGTCGGTTCCGGGTGGACCCGAGTTTCTAGCCATTATAATTTAAAAAAAAAACATTTTTTGAATGCTCGGACCGGGTCCGGGCCGGGTCCGGTTCGGGTCCGGTTTCTAGCCATTCATTTTCGAATTTTGAAAAAAAAAATAAAAAAATATTCGGGTGGACCCGACGGGTCCTCGGGTCGGGTCCTCGGGTCCGGGTCCTCGGGCCCACCCGCCGGGTGGACCCGTCGGGTCTCGGGTCCAAAATATCGGGACCCGAAACCGACCCATACATTTCCGGGTCCGGGTCCGGGTCCGGGTCCATGGTCAACGGGGCGGGGCCGGGGCGGGGCGGGGCAGTCGCCGGGTCGGGTCCGGGGCGGGTCCGGGTCAGACCCGACCCGTGGCCATGTCTAACTGCTAGGAATGAAGAAGAGAAGGTAAATTAGGTGATTAGGTTTGATACGGGCAAGTTGTAGTTTGTAACTTTGTATGTTGGGCCAATTCAAATGGGTCATTAATTTTTAAATAAAAAATTTGCAGCCCAGTCCAAATTGAAAAGTCATGCCCTAGTTAGAATAAAAATATTGAATATATGTATAAATGTATAATAATTTTTAAATATATTAAAAATTCGGAAAAAATCGGAATTATTCGGAAATTTTCGGAATTATTCGGAATTATTTTTGGATCGGAATTCCGAAATTCCGAAAATTTAATATCAAATTCCGATTCCGATCCGATTTTTTTCGGAAAATTCGGAAATCGGAATTTCGGAAATCAGATTACAAAAAATAGTTCCATAATCGAAAATATTCGGATCGGAATCGGCGGAAATCGGAAATTTCGTTCCGATTTCCACCCCTATCCACATCACATACCACAAAAAAACCCACATAAAAAATTCCACACCCTTGTTACCGACGATTACTGAAAGAAATATATACAGAAAACTATATAACAGCTGAAGAATAAAACTTGGAATCGTGTGAATATATTAATCTTTTGCTATGTGTAAAAACAATCAAAATCCCATATAAAAAATTGCAGCAAACAAAATATAATCCATTGCAATTTGACGAAAGAAAAAAGAGCCAACCCTTCTTACTGCTTCGCTAATAAGATTCTTCTTAACAAGAAAAATTCTTAGATCTAGAATTTCGTCAGAATATGACTGTATATGATAACGTTGTTGATTACACACACGAAAAAAGCATGTCTTTCAAATATGTAACGTATGTAATGAGAGATCTAGTTCGGAAAAATAATATTAGGCTTGTATCTCACATCTTATTATGTTTCGTTTAACGGACCTCTAGCATATTAAACCAAGAATTAAAAGAATGGGGTTAGGGTTATAGCCAATTTTCCATTGTTTCATTTTATCCCGAAAAATGTAGAAATATTCCGGTTTTGTAGATGCTACATACGGCGAAATACATCGGGTGATTTTAAACCATAGATCTACACATGATAGCACATGTACCCCTGTGTATGTGTGCTTAGTGACTTGTTATTTGTATAGACCTACAGTTTAAAATGACCCAATGTATTTATCGGATGAAGCATCTCATAGACCAAATATTCCCATAATATGCGTGTAAGTTTGACCTATGTGCTCCGAAGAGTTTGATTTTTTTGTTTGACTTTAGATCAAATGGGAATATCTCCTAATAAAAGTTTAATATCTTTTTTAGTTCGATATAAACACAAGTAATGAATGGGGTTAACTCATGAAGACATAGAAGCCGGAAAAGAAGAGAAACCATTAAATTCTAATAATGAATAGGCGCATTGGCGAAGCCAGAATTTCATCACTTGTGGGACCGAATATACAAAAGAATTGCATAAAAAAATTAATAACAACAATGATTGTTCCAAGAGTGACGCGTTTAAGATATTGTTACATGGTGGGATTAAATTTTCGGGGGTTCGTGGGCAGCGTCCCTGAAAAAAATTTAGGATTTTTGTTATTTTTAGAAGAATAGAAAAGGACAAACTGATATTTTTTGTATTAATCTGAATTTGGATAGACTAAACAATAAAAATTTGGTGGACTTGAGTCCGCCCTTGCTCGATAGTGGACTCGCCCCTGGTTCCATGTCACGTAATTTCCTCATCCCACTTGTTCGAATTATTTATCATTTTTCTTTGTTTTCTTCAATTAAAAATATTTATTATTATTTTTTATATAAAACTTAATTATTAAAAATTACAAGAGCACAATATAAAGGCTATAAATTACATATACATATATAGTAGTAAAAAAAATTAAACTTTGAGGAGGGGCCATGGCGCCCCCTGGCCCTACACTGGCTTCCCCACTGAATAGGCATGCAAAACAATTATGCTGTTGAAGCACTCTATATTTATGAATCATCACATTAAAAAAAAATAATGTCCAATGTTCATGATAATTAATATACATTGTTCTTGTACACAAGGAAATAAGAACAAGGGGCAACAATTTAAGAAAAAAATAGGCACATGCGTTTTCGCTGGTTGCCTGGAAATGTCGTCAAATTTGGTGATTTCTAGTCGGAAAGAAGCAGCAGGGGTGCTGTTGATTAAGGAGAAGTAGACGATGGAGGTATTTTTGGGATACCTTGACGCCTTAATTCAACGATAACACTATCCATGGATGGGGGCTTCAGTCCAAGTGGCAGTGGCAGCCATGGCTTTGCTATAACGTCCCCAATAGCTGCATCTATCCTTTCCTTTGACTGTATTGTACATTTCACACACAGAGTAAGTATTGCGGAAATATGTGAACAAGATTAATAAGGAAATAATCGAGGAGTAAGTATCTCCTAATTCATATTTTACTCTTGTTAATACATGTCGAATCACAAATATCTACACCTATTTATACGAATCCTAGATAAACATGTGTCTAATGATTCATGTACTTGTTTATTCATGTAATGTTAGCATACACTGTACATGTATGTGACAATCACTTACATATACGTTTTTACTACACCGTATACGGACATTGGTGTCGTTACATGAAATGACGAAACAATGTATCGGTTAAAATATAATTTGCTGATATATTTCCCTTTTTTCTATTTTAACGAAAACAATCACATTTAATTTGAAAAAAAGAGGGAGGGAAATAGAAAACTGACTGGGTGAACATCGGAAAGTGGTGGTTGGGTAAGTTTTTGTCCAGCTCCATCTATACAAAGGTCAGCCTCTACTACTTTGCCCGGAGCTGCTGGAATTAACGGCGACTTCTGTAATTAGGATAATAACATATATTTGACTCTTCAAATAATTAAACCACATCTAGTAATATTAATTCGGAACAAACAAACAACAAACAAGAGAAAATGAATGGAATTAATAATTGAGAGATGAACGTACAAGAGAAGGTTTTGTTATCACGGTTTGTGGCAAATGCATCGGAAAGCTGCAAGGTGTTCCCGCTGCATTTTGAACCTATGTATATATGTATACATATAACAATACATATTAAACAGTGCGCACGTGCTTAACTATATATTAATTAGAGTGATGCATGACTGTTACAACATATGTTTACGTTATGCATATGTAAGATCGATGACTTACATATTGGTGCCAAAAAGAAGGGTCGGGTGGAAGAGGATGATGAGGAGCCAGCTGCCATGGTGGTGGCGGAGGGTGTTTGTGCCACATGTGCATCAATGATTGGTCAATAGATGGATGACCCCATACGTGTAACGGTCTAACTAAATGAGGCGGCATTAGCGGTGTGGCCGGAGGAAATCCCGTGTTATAAGAGGGTGCAATATTATTCCAATTAGGATGCAATTGATTATTAACCATCGATCTCTTCTCTGTTCCGTACATCTGCCGCCTCTGACTCCAGCTTGCCGCCTCCGCTTCTCGTGCTAGCAAATGTTTCCGATGTGATCTATATTTCTGCATATTTATATTAATTAATCAGATCGAATATTTTAATTTGGAGATGACGTGATAATAATCACATTCTAATTCCTTCTAATAACTTTATTTATGTTTAATAAAATGAGGTCGAACAAAAAACAAACTTTATGTTTAATAAATTAATATGTAGTAAAAATTGAGATTTGAAGATTTTATGTCAGTAAAATATTTAAAACTATTAGTAAATATGTATTTTCATTTAATGTTTACATTGGTTGGCTGCATTATTATGGGGCTGCAATAATTTCCAGTGTATGGAAAGCACAAAACTGACATGAAATCTACTTTTGCAATCCCAAAGGGTTATTCAATTGTCTGTTAAATTATTAGCATAATTTTGAAAAAGTATCTTTATATATATATATATTCTGATACAGCCAAGAGCTTTTTCCACATGAAGACAAATGAAAGTATATATATATATATATATTATTCTGGCTCGTTTCAGTGGCTGTGATGTAATAATTATTTAGAGAAAGAGTGTGAATTATTAGTTGGTCGAGTACAGACAGTAGTTCTCCTCTCACATAAACTTTTTACCCCACAAGAAGAAAGTGGGAGAAATAATTGCAAATATTACAATAAACTAACATTATCTTTGGTTTGATTGCATAAAGGTAGATTGTTTATTCGAAATTAATTAATATATCTTTGATTAATATATCGAAATTAATAGTAGTAGATTTTGGAAAGTGTTAAATGCAATGTAAGGAATAAAAAATATATAACATACTTGAAGATGGCTGGCAATGTTATGGCGAGTGAGGCAATCGATACCCATAAGCTCAAGAATCCTGGATGGTACTGCCTTATCCACCCCTAATTGCTCCACTACTTTCACAAACCTCTTATGCAGTTCTGCCGTCCAATCCACCTACAATTAAATATCATCAATTCTTTGAATCTCTAATTCCAAATATTAATTAATTCAAAACATTATAATAATTAATAAAAAAGAAACATCATCATTTAATTATGAGCCAACCATTAAACAATTCAACTTCACTTTCATCGTACATAGGATAGGAAGAATCATTTAATTAGAAAGCAGCCCGGAATGATATCTACCAACCAACCCATAATAAATTAATTAAGAGAGAGAAAGAGATATATAGTGCAATTCTTGTATAGTTGATCAATATATATAACTAGAGAGTTTACCTTTGGTTTCTTCTTCCCGGTGGGATTCTTAGATCTGTGATGAGCCGAAGAAGAAGATTTTTTACTCTTAATAGTTTCCGGAGAAAGTGGCGCCTGATCTTCTTCACCCAACATTTCATTACTACTACTACTTGCTATGGTGTAGGATACACCAACGTTGTTGTTGTTGTTGTTGTTGTTGTTGTTGTTGTTGTTGTTTGTGTCAGAATCATCACTGCATTCATTGCTAGTAACTGAGAAGTCAGAAACAAGAATGTGATGATGAGATTGATCCGTCTCCAAATCTGGTAAAACGTCGTCGTCTCCTATTCCCATGAAGAGCTCATCAAAATCAATGCTGTCAAGAAAGTTATTACTGAAACCATCAGGAGGATAATCATCATTAATCCCTTCCATTAAGAAATCGTATGGAATTTGGATTTCCCTTTCATTGTTGTTGGACACAGCAGCAACCATTATCTATATTATATGTATCAATTACTCAATCAATCACGTGACTAGATGTATAGATAATTAAGGCGGACGATAATAATCGAGAACGAGTGTAATGGAATATTTGCAGGTTAATTAGTACTGATATTGACTCCTGTATGTATATTCGGCTTCGGAGGAAGAAATAAATGTGGAAAATATATATTATTGAGATTTTCTTCTTAGCTTGATGATGGAAGGAGGGGCAATAATAAGTGGGAACATGTGTACTAGCTGTTGGGTCTTATTCAGTTGTTGTATGCACACACTACAGTCGGTGTGTGTGTGTGTGTGTGTGTGTGTGTGTGTTACTGTGGTGAGAGAATGGTAGAAGTGAATCTCCACCACAATTTGTGTAGAGGGCGTGGTCTACGGCTTTGTTTTTATTTTCTTGTTTTGGCTTCTTCTCTATATATATTAATAATATTTCTAATTCTCAACAATTTGTGTATGGATTTGTGGATGTCCTTTCTTTGAACTTCTCAAAAATCTACCGAGTGTTTGTCCGTGACTTTGTTTTTCATTGAAAAATTATATACTCTTTAAACACTTGTATAATATTTATATATAGGGATGAGAGTGGATCATAGTGGGTACCCTCGAAATAGTGTAATACCAGAACCGTTATTATTTAATATAGTTCAAACCAGAATCATACAAAAACCATTTAAATTATTAGAATATCACAACCGTTACCACCAATATCCAGATACCCACGGATATCTATTTACCATTTAAATTATGGTAATAGAATATAATTTCGGGACATATACCATTTAAGTAACTCTTAGAACAAAAAAAAAAGAGAACAAAAAAATTAAGTAAATTATACAGAATGAAATAAGAAACTTCACAAAAATTGATGTTCCATGCAGTGTTCTAAAAATCGGCCGAGGCGGAGGCGGTTCAAAACCTTTACGATTTTAGTGTAGAAGTTTGAAAATCAGTTTTTTGCCTGTGAGGCGGTTTTAGGCGGTCTGAGGCGGTCAAACCTTTAAGGCGAGTCAAACTCGGTGGCAAAAATCGGTCAAAAATCGGTTAAAAATCAGTTTTTTTCTTTTTTCTTTTTATAATTCAAAATAAAAGTTAGATTTTAATAAAAGAAAATATGAGTTTATGCCTTATTTTGTTTATGTTAATTGTTATTGTTAAAGAACTAATGATGTATGCCAGGAATGTTCAAGATTAAATGTAAATTCAAAAAAAATATTTATTTATTTATATTTTATAAGGATATTTATGTATTATGATCTTATAATTATTAAACTTTTGTTATGTTATTAGGATATATACATGAAGAAGAAGAAGAAGAAAAAGAAGAAGAAGAAGAAGAAGAAGAAGAAGGATGAGGAGGAGGAAAATGAGGGGGAGGAGGAGGAGGAGAAAAGAAGAAGGAAAAGGAGAAGACGAAGAAGAAGAAGAAGAAGAAGAAGAAGAAGAAGAAGAAGAAGAAGAAGAAAAAGAAGAAGAAGAAGAAGAAGAAGAAGAAGAAGAAGAAGAAGAAGAAGAAGAAGAAGAATGAGAAGAAGGAGAAGGAGAAGAAGAAGAAGAAAGAGGAGAATGAGAAGAAGATTGAGAAGGAGAAGGAGAAGGAGAAGAATGAGAAGAAAAAGGATAAGGAGAAGAAGAATGAGAAGGAGAAGGAGAAAGAGGAGAAGGAGAAGGAGTAGAAGGAGGTAAAAGGAGTAGAAGGAGAAGGAGTAGAAGGAGGATGAAGAAGAAGAAGAAGAAGAAGAATAAGAAGAAGAATAAGAAGAAGACGAGGACGACGATAACGAGGAGGATGACGAGAAGGAGGACGACGACGAGGATGAGGAAGATGAAGAGGAAGAAGGAGGAGAAGAAGCAGGAGCAGGAGGATCAAGTGGATCAGGAAGAGGAGGAGCAGCAACAGAAGAAGATGGAGGATGAGGAGGAGGAAGAGGAGTAGAAGAAGGAGGGGCAACAAAGAAGAAGAAGCAGGAGCAGGAGGGGGAGGAGGAGGAGCGGGAGAAGGAGAATGATGAGGAGAAGAAAAAGAATAATAAGAAAAAAAGAAGAAGCAGGGGGATGAGAAAGAGGAATAAGATTAAGAATGAGAAACAGGAGGAAGAAGAATCAGAAGCATGAGGAAGAATAAGAAGAAACATGTGTGGGATGAATGGTTGTGAATAAGAAACAGAAGGGTGTGAGGAGTTTGTGTGTGTGATATTAAAAGAAAGAAAAATGAGATTTTTTATGTTTGTGAGATAGTAATTTTCATTAAATGTATAAATGTCATTAAGTATTTATTGTTTAGCGGGCATTGAGGTGAGAAATAATTGAAATTTGAAATACCCATCCCCCCTCTGTTAAATTTGTATTATTTATTATTTCATATATTTTATATATTGACACTAGGTGTGTGTGTATATTCATTGTAAGATGAAAAATATATGTTACAAAGTACATAATAGTACTGTAATTTGAATTTTACGGATATATTTTAATATTATTTGATCGATTTTTTACTACAATTTGTACTATTATTTTTTTAGACAGTTACTTTTTTTCTTTTGTTGAATGCGACCCCGCGCAACGCACGGGCACGGTTACTAGTTTTAATAAAAGAAAATATGAGTTTATGCCTTATTTTGTTTATGTTAATTGTTATTGTTAAAGAACTAATGATGTATGCCAGGAATGTTCAAAATTAAATGTAAATTAAAAAAAAATATTTATTTATTTATATTTTATAAGGATATTTATGTATTATGATCTTATAATTATTAAACTTTTATTATGTTATTAGGATATATACATGATGGAGATATAACTATGTTTAAATATCTTTTTATATATGTTTGGAGTATTTATAAATAATATTTAGAAATATATTATATTAAATTTTAAAAACCGATTTATTACCGATTAATCGTGAGTCGGTGCCTGACCGACTCAGACCCGATTACCGCTTTTTACAACCTTGGTTCCAAGTCAACAAAATGATGATTAAAATAACAATATCAACTAAAAGATATTGGAAATATATTTTCCAATATGAATTTATGATACACAAATAACACAATTGACTCGAATGATACAAAACTTTTTATATACTCGAGTAATTCATTACGTACTAAAACCAGAAATTATTTCATACTTTATTTAAGATTTTGCC